ACTTCTATTGCTCAAGATGCCAACTCATGCAATTCACTATTACAAAAGCCCCTAGAATCTACCACCGTCTGCATTTCCGCCCCCCACAGTGAGAAGGAAAGCAGTTATGTGTATTGTACAAGAAAAGTGTGAAGTCCCAATTGTCTGTCTAGCTTCAGCCTCAGGAGTTGCTAAGCCAGAAGAACATTGAGAGTCATTTCTGTCTGTGGAAGCAACTGCTCACCTCACTCTGCCCACTGGTGGGCTCTAGGGATGTCTGGAAACCGCCGTGAGGCCAATGGAACTTCCTCTTCCGCTCCAGATCTTATCAGACTGTTTCTGGAGTTTGTTCGTTATGAGACACCCAAGTCTCCTCAATCATTTTAAGTCAGGGCTTTCCAAAAACATTTAATTAATATAAACCACCAAAAGGGAGAATGGATAAACATAAGAAGAAACAGAACCACTAAAACGTCATCGCAAACATGTTAGAAATCAATTACAATCTGAGATTCGGGTAATCTTAAAGGAAGAGTACCCAAGACAAATCCAGTTTCTTAAATCATATGCTTGCTTAGTTGAGATGAGTAGAAGGAAAACAAATTTGAATGTGGCAGAGACTCCAACTAGTGTCACCTAGGGAAATTCTCACCAAGCTGATTATAGAAGGCCATGTTCACTGAAGCAGGTGGGGACTTACTCTGTGTGTGTGTGTGTGTGTGAGAGAGAGAGAGAGAGACAGAGATCTGTTTTAAACCAAAAGTACACACAAAACCACCCCATCCAAACGGAAGAACCCACCTGCAACAACAGCTGCTTTCGTTTTATACTTGTGTGTCACACAAGGCTTGCGGTGGGTGTCCAGAGCAAAAAAGAAAACCAAGAGAGATGAGGAGGCAAAAGACGAAAGCTGGGAAGAAAATAAAATCTACAACAGAGTGAAACTGCCCCATAGTAATTTCATTTTCACCACCATGGATGGTCCCTACAGTCACAGGGCTTTCCCCCACAATCTCATTAGGGGTTTGGGACTTTGTCTCTCTTTTTCACCATTCCTCTTCTCTATGCTTGTCTGTTGGTTGGCCTCTTGTTCTCCTTCACTACATTAACTCAGTGAAATGGGTTTATTTTTTGTCCTGGTGTTCTCTAAAGCCCATCTCTTTTGAGTCTCCCTCTGTCACGTTCTTTGGTTGTTTCCCGCCCACGCTGCCATCTGTATTTCAGAAGATACAAATAGTTGCCAGTGTTCCTTAGAGTCAAGGGCTCAAACTGCCAGCAAATGCAACTGGTAGAGTGTCACATAACTAACCACTCCTGGGATCTGACACTTCAGAACTCCAAGGAGGGGCACACTCCCAAGACGCGTCTAATAATCTTCCCCAGAACCAGTGTTCCCTGATCACTTTAGCTCAAGCAGAAGTGCAGGGCATAAATGGAACCTCATCCTCACCCTTGTTTTAAAATCAGGCTATAAATACCTAGCAGGAGTGCAAACTGATTCTCTCGTTCACCCCTGATAAGGGTGGAATGGAGGAAGCAAACACAAATCATCTTTTATGGGAAAACAAAGGCCTCATTAAAAAAGAAGAGTGTGTGGCCTTGTGATTCCCACTGCAGCTTCTTTAGAGATTGAGGAACAAGAAGATCACGTTCTCAGCTCATTACATCCCCTCCCATGCTGTATATCCCATGACCAAATTTAAGCAACCAGCTGGGCCTAAAAGAGCGTCCCAACAGGTAGAGCTGCAAGTAGACGTGAGGATGGGGCCAAGAGAACCTGGCTTAGGAGCGGGGCCATGGTAGACTCCTCCTCTCCTCTCCAAGGCTTTTTCTCAGCTATAACCTTTGCCCTTCCCAATGCCCCTCTCTGATTGGATCCTAAAAATGCCCAAGTCTATCTGAGGTACAGTATCCGTCTGAGGAGGAAGGACTCACCCCTATCAGGTACAGAACATTCCTTTCATGGAATAAAGGGAATTGGATGGGTTTCAAACTTTAAACTCATGGACAATTTGGACCAAATTAGAAGTATGTGTGTCTCAAGAATGTCCTGGCTCTTTTTGTTGTTGTTGAGTACTAAAGCTAAACTTTCTCAGTGTTAAGGTTCAGGGTTGACAGGGGCCGGAGGCCAAGCCTTGATGGTGGAGTGGAATTTACGGAGAATCTGAGAGTCCTTCAGGAGCAGAGCCAACCAGAGGGGGTTCAACAGGGGAGCAACGTACATTCAGAGCTTTGTGGGAGACCTGGCAGTCACACTGTCCTGGTAGCCTGAGCTGGTAGCTTTTGATCTGAGCCATCTAGGTACCCCGCAGAGGGCTCACAGAAAGTTAAAAGAGTGAGTTGTCAAGATTACAAAGGAATTAAAATTAAAGCCATCTGTTGATGTGTTTTTGGTTATTTTCCTACAACAAACCACTGTACTTAACCTCACATCTAAATATGCTGTGGTTTCAAAGCATATTTTTAGTTTCTCTTCCTCTTGATACATTTCAGAAGATGTTTGAGTTGTCTTCAAGTGATTTATGGCTTATAAATTACCAAAATAACTTGAACTTTTGGTATTTATGTGTTTTAATAGAAGAAAATTTATGATGATCAAAAGCCAAATGTTTATGAAATTATCTGTTTTCACTGAACAGGAAAAGTATCCATTAAGCACTAACAAGCTAACAGAAATTATTGAAGAGTTGACACTAACAACTTAAATGCTCTCTCTAGTCATTTCAGATGTTAATTTGGGAAATTGTGATCTTTATTAATTAGATAGATGATCTTTGGAAATAATTCATATACTATGTATTTAAAGCTATTGTTGTTATGTTGTTAGGTGCCATCGACTTGGTTCCTACTCATAGTGGCCCTGTGTACAACAGAACAAAAGACTGCCCAGTCCTGTGCCATCCTCACAATCATTGCTATGTTTGAGCCCATTGTTGTAGCCACTGTGTCAGTCCATCTCATCAAGGTTCTTCCTCTTTTTCGCTGACCTTCTACTTTACCAAGCATGATGTCCTTCTCCAGAGACTGGTCCCTCCTGATAAAGTGTCCAAAGTATATGAGAAGAAGTCTTGCCACCCTCGCTTCCAAGGAGCACTCAGGCTGTACTTCTTCCAAGACAGATTTGTTCGTTCTTCTGGCAGTCCATGGTATATTCCACATCCTCTTCTGAATCTGGCTTGAATTTCTGGCAGTTCCCTGTCGACGTACTACTGCAATCATTTTAAAACTAGTCTTAAAGTAAAACTTTTGGTATTTCCATATAAGAGGAAGGAAGGATATCATTGCTGATGTCAGATGGATCCTGGCTGAAGGCAGAGAATACCAGAAAGCTGTTTACCTGTGTTGTATTGACTATGCAAAGGCATTCGACTGTGTGGATCATATCAGATTATGGATAACATCGCGAAGGATGGGAATTCCAGAACACTTAATTGTGCTCACGAGATAACCTGTACATAGACCAAGAGGCAGTCATTCAAACAGAACACGGGGATACTGCGAGGTTTAAAGACAGGAAAGGTGTGCATAAGGTTTGTATCCTTTCACCATACTTATTCAATCTGTATGCTGAGCAAATAATCCAAGAAGCTGGACTATATGAAGAAGAATGGGGCATCAGGATTGGAGGAAGACTCATTAATAATCTGTGATATGCAGATGACACAACTTTGCTTGCTGAAAGTGAGGAGGACTTGAAGCACTTACTGATGAAGAT